CGTCCTTTGTTGGGATTTTCATCATTTGATGAAGGGTTGATGGCATTGCCCTCATGCTATGGATCCACGACCTTCCAACTAAAGCATTATACCTCATATCTCCTTCGATGACATGAAACTTGGTGTCTTGTATGGTTTCGGACACGTTGACTGGGAGGATAATTTCCTCCTTCGTCGTTTCACTAGCCATGTTGAATCCATTCAGGACTCGAGAGGCAGATATGATTTGGTCAAGCATCCCGAGCTTCTCTACGACCCTTGATATGATTATATTTGTTGAACTACCTGGATCTATGAGAACACATTTAACTTGAACTTTATTTAAAATGATAGAAATTACCAGTGCATCGTTGTGAGGCTGAGATAAGGCCTCGATGTCTTCCTTGCTGAATGTGAGGGTGTCCTTGGGCATGAAGTCCTGAGTCCGTTTCTCCCTTGTGATGGATACTTTGGTACGTTTGAATATAGGTCCCTGTGGGATATCGACTCCACTAATGATCATGTGAATAACATGTTGAGGTTCTTCAGGTTCATTCTTCCTGTTTGCATCTCTTTCTCAAAAATGGTTCTTGGCTCGGTTGCTGAGAAATTTATGAAGATGCCCCTCGTTGAACAACCGGGATACCTTTTCTCTAAGCTGCCTGCAATCCCCAGTCCTATGCCCATGAGTACCATGATACTTGCACATTAAGTTAGGGTTTCTCTGAGAAGGATCGGTCTGTATAGGCTTGGGCCATCTAGTATCTCTAATTTTGCCAATGGCTGAGACGATGCCCGAGACATCGACGCTGAAGTTGTACTCCGATAATCGGGGTGCCTCCATCGGTCCCAAGTGCTTATCAAACTCAGTTTTGTTCATGAGTCCTCGGTACTTTTGACCTCAATCTGCTCTTCGATCATTCCGAGGTATGTTACGCCTTGAAATGTTCCTTCAATCCTCGACGTATGGCTGATATCTTTCCTTATTCGACCTTGACCCCCTATCTGCATTTCCTGACTCCTTTGCTAGTAACCTGCTTGGATAAACTGAGCCCAAGGGGGCTCCCAACGGTTCATCCTCGACCCTAATTTTTGATTGGTACCTATTATACACATCCGCCCAAGTCACGGCGGGATACTCGATCAAGTTCTGCTTCAGCTACTTCGAAGCTATCAAACTTCATTCATTTAAACCTTGAGTTAAGGCTTGTATGGCCCAGTCATCAGAGACTGGTGGTAACTCCATTCGTTCTGACTGGAAATAGGACACAAACTCCCTCAACATCTCGTTCTCCCTTTGCTTTATTTTGAAAACGTCGGACTTCCTTGTTGCAACTTTTATGGCGCCAGCGTGTGCCTTGACAAATGAATCTGCCAACATGGCAAACGAATCAATAGATTTTGGAGGTAAGTTATGGTACCAAATCATGGCACCCTTAGACAGGGTTTCCCCAAACTTTTTTAGCAAAGCAGACTCAATCTCATCGTCTTCCAAATCATTTCCTTTTATGCCACAAGTATATGTGGTGATGTGTTCATTAGGATCAGTGGTTCTGTTGTATTTTGGGATATATGGCATCCAAAATTTCTTGGGAATGGGCTTCGGAGCCACACTCTAGGGGAATGGTTTTTGCACAAACTTTTTCGAGTCCAGTCCTTTCAAAATCGGAGGTGCTCCCGGTATCTGGTTGACTCTAGAGTTGTATGTCTCCACTTTTTTGTCATTTTCTTCAATCTTCTTTTCTCCGGTATCGATCCTTTTGGCAAGCTCTTCGAGCATTCTCATAACCGTGGGGTCAGTCCCCGAGCCATTTTCAGCGCGCCTTTCAAGTGCTGGTTTAGCACGCCGTGTTTGGAGTTCTATTCTAACTTTGAAGTTGAGCGATGGTGACTTGCTGGGCTTGCAACATTTTGAATATCACCTGGAGGATGACTCCTCCTTCTTCCATTCCTTGTGTTTCTTTGGTCATCGGGTTGGTCTTCCTTGTGTGCATTCATTACGGGGTCTGCACCTGAATCCGCGTTTAGAACATTATGCGAGCTGATACCAGCCGGCTCCATATTTGGCACTTCCTCAGGGTTTATGGGTGGTACATCGATCCCTATACCTCTGTTGTCTCCAAGACCTTTGTCGTTGTGAATAGGTGCATTCTGTGTGCTAGACATGTCTAAGCATGAGAATAAAAAAATCTTGACATGAAAAAGTGTGAAGAATAATGTGCTTTATTAGAAAACTAGCACTAAAATAATCACTATTATCTTTAGCCCCATGGTGGGCGCCAAACTATTTACCTTGAAAAATGTGAGTAACAACTAAAGATAATTTGTGGTTTTAAAGATATATGATTTATTCCAATACTAGTGAATATACAAGTAATATTAGGTTTAAGTAAGAAAAATTGATCAACCAAACTAGTATTTCTGGAGCAACGGAGACCTCGAGCTCGATAATCTCGGGGGACTCGAGGTGAGCTAAGAACCAATAAAGTATGAACAATTAAGTAAAAATAATAAAGCTGAAAAACAATTGTTTAGCATGGTAAACGAGAAAAGTAGAGTAGAATATTCTATTGCAGTGAATGAGATAATTTTTACAAATGATTGGGATACCCTTTATATAGGAGGGGAAAACCCTAATACGGTACATTTCCAATTATGATAAAGAATTCTATTGGTACAGTTGTATAACAACCTAGTATGGACTTGTACTATTTCGTACAAATCTTATCCTATAATTTATGCCCTGACCCACGTGTCCTTGAGAAATTCTCGCTCTTTCTTGAGTGTCATCGAAATTGTACTGCCCTCGAGACAGATCATGACAGGTCTCCAATTTGCTTCTCGAGGTTCGTTCATCCGGGCCTAGCTTGATTCTTACTTCGATCTTTCCCAACTCGAGCTCGGGGTATGTTCAAGTCTTTGAAATCGAGCTCTCCGATTTCGACCGTATGCATAAATCTGTGATAATCACTTATAGCTATATTTTAACGTGTTTCAACTGTCAGTAATAACTTCAAGTTGCTAGCGAAATAAGCATAAATCTATGATAATCACTTATAGCTATAATTTTCAGAAAAGACTATTGTTTAGTGGCTATTAACGTCCTATAGTTACCATATACATATTTACTTTCCATAGCTACCTTTCAGTTGTTATGTTAATGTATTCGATATATTTGAACTACCGTATTCATGAATACAGTAGCAAAAATCGGCTAAAAAATAGGGTAGTCCAGCTGTCGGGCGTTGTATTCATATGTATTCATACTATGTATTCATGAATACAATGTAATAATAGGTCTCTCCAGTTGTTTAATAACGGAAAGCTGCTAATTTATCAGGATACACTCCTAATATCACTCATCTAAATCAATTATAACACACGACATTATCAATCCAATTAATTAGAAGATTTATCAGACGCTAAACACCAAAAAACAAAACATTCTTCAGAGTTTCGGTCCCTCTTTTTTTTCTGCAGTTCGAGTTTTTTTTCTCTCCTGACATTGTTCGAGGTTCTGCTCGGAATTGATACAAGTATCAACAGAAATACTTTGAAATACGATTTTCTGTATATGAATACATCATGTATTTATGCCGGATACTACCTGTAATAGTAACCTACCGCCTGCATATTTCATAATAAACCTAGTGCTTGTATTCTGTTGTATCTAACAGTTCTGTTCAATGTATCCAAGTTTATTTTTGTATTCATAATATTTTATTTATCCCTAATGCATGTTATTACTGCTTTATTGAGTATATTTCATTGGTTGTATTCATTGATTTTCTATTTGTATTAAGAGTATTTTATTGTATTTCACTGTATCGTTGTTTTAAATATAGATGGATACAGTTAGGTCGAATATACAGATGAATACAGTTAGATTGAATGCATAACTAATTGATGAATAACATCAAAATGATAGAACTAATAATGTATTTAAAAATGTTGTAGTATGAACTCAAATACATATAAATACATCTAAATACAACAGTCAAAAATCACTGTACAACATAAAAATCAGTGTATGCCTTATCGAATACATATAAATACATCTAAACACAAGAAGAGAAATCCACTGCACAAATTAAAAATAAATATATGCGGACTCGAATACATATAAATGCATCTACATTTAGTGTCATTACGTATTTTTGTTCTCCTTTCGGCTTCAATAGTTGTTGATGAACTTGCAAATACAGGTTCCTCTTGAGTGATTTGCAAATCGAAAGATGGCCCTTTGAAATTGAGTGCTTTAGTGGGTATTCTGCAGAAAACCTAACAAAGCTTTTGTAGTATCAAAAGATGGCCCTTCAAAATTGAATGCTTTAGCGAGTATTCTGCAGAAAACTTAAAAATGGTGAATATTAAAATAAAACTGTTGAAGAGAAAAAGAAAAAGCTTTAACCGGCCAAAACCCAAAAACTTTAACACTTACCACAACTTTTTTTGGAGCAAAAGATATTGAAAATTGAGGGAGACAATGGCGCTAATAAAGGAGAATCGTGGTTCAACATTAATGGGAAGACAATGGTGCTGTGAGAGAGAGATCGTGGAGAGAGAAATAAGATACTATGCGGTGATTTTGGGAGAGAAAAAACTGAAATAATGAGAAAGAAAATATTAGACAGCGTATGTAATGGCTTAACGGTAGGAAGTGACCATAAATACATATTTTTCTATATAAACTAAAAGGTAGCTATAGAAAATAATATTTTAAAAAGATTTTTATTTATAATAAATAGAGTGTAAAGCTTTATTATAGAAGGTAAAATTTCCATAATAAAAAGCTTCCATAATTGTTTTAAAAAAATTGAAGGGCTGGGCTGCAATTTTAAAGCCCTTCTAAACAAAGGGCCTGTCCGTCCTAGCCAGTCGAAATCAAGGTTCAGTTGAGCCAACCAGTTTTGACAACTCTAATTCAAGATTTGCAATAAATCTAGTTAGTTTGATTTATTTTCTATAAATGTAACATGATTATTCTATATGCACATGCTGAAGATCAATAAAAGATACTATAGTTGACAACAAGCAAACTCATCCATTTATGCAAACTGTTGGTTTACATTACAGCTAAAATTAACACACATGTGAAGAAGAGTACAAGAAGATAATTCGTTATTTGTCTTTCGGCTTAAACATCATCACGGAAAGTTGATAGAAGACATTTGCTGAACGTTGATGGGATAGCAATCGGAAGGAGGGCCAGAAAATGCCCTCTGTGCCAAGATGGCATCCACAGCTTGCGTTGGATGAAATGCATCCCAAAATATATATTTACTCCTGTCCAGGCATGGAAATTGATACGGCATGCATGTTATTTGTCCCTGGTTTCTCCCCACCCCACAGCATGCTCTGTCCCATACGTTAAACCCTGCCATATATCATGACCGCATGTAAATCTCTATAACTAGCACTGATCGTAAGTAACATACTATAACAGGTTAAGCTACACTGATTCTGTACTTTTTTTTATAGTACTAAGTGTATATAAACTTAAATCCTAAAATATAGTGTTAAATTATTGAGCCTAGCCGATACATTACCATATCTGGCTGCGTTGTTTAAGATATCACCAATAACAGCATAGGTGTTGCCATAGACGAAAATGGATCCAGGATGACTGCCGTTGTTCATAGAGGCGACGAGTGATTTAAGACCCTCATTGAAACTGCCAAGCATCTGGTTTACATAATCAACACATCTTCCAGGAGGGGCTTGCCCTGTTGCCAACTGATTGGGAATGCATCCCAGTGGCCCTACTCCTGCTAGCAAGAACTTCCTCAGCCCTACACTATACAAAGCCTGCATTCAAATTAAGTAGTCAATACTTGCTTTCTTTCGCCAATGATCACTACAAGGAGAGACTAAAAGGCTATAAACTCTTTTTAGGAACGAGGTTTAACTTCTATACTGCAGGGGCGGATGCAGCATGCAGTTACCGGGTTCAACTGAACCCAATACTTTCGACGCAGAGCATACATTTATATTTAAAAACCACTCAAATTATAATAAATAGTAGATATGAACTCATAACTTTGATATATAATGGATTCAATGCTAAAAACTTTAAATATTAAAGTCATATAATTAAAATCCTAGATCCGACTCTGTATACACTGAGAATGATTTTATATTTTCGGGTCACATAAAGATAATTTTCTTCACCCTACACTATGCACTAATCTATTTTTGTAACGTAAAATTAACTTAAGTTTGTCTAATTATCACGAAAGTCACTAAAATATTTTTGTAACCAAAACGTCAATCAATTTTGATACTTAAGTTTTTTTTCTCCTTCTCGTTACTTTCCGGGATACTTAGGCAAAGTTGTGTGACTTTTTCGTTAAACAATAGTTTTTGGACTTTTGTGATACTTAAGTAAAGTTGAGTAACTTCTATATCATAAAAATTAATTTAATAACCTTGGTACAATAAAGTTAAAGTTGAGTGAGTATCCATAATATTAACTCTATATAAAAAGTGGGCAAAATAAACAAGGGGATACATAATAATTTAAAAAGAAGAACAAGGTATAATATAAATCACATCTTGCTTACCACAAGTTGCCTTGCATAGTGATTGAGAAGGAGGTTGGCAAACTGTTGAGGAGTATAGTTGATACTGGAAGTGTAAAGGTTAGGCATGAGATAGTTATTTATGTAGTCATTGCTTCCAAACACCATCACTGCAATTGATCTTGATAGATATGTGTTTAAATCACCCGGACTCATCATCGTCCTTAACTGACTTAGTGTGCTTTCAAAATTTATCACCTGCTGGCTCAACGGGTAACGCTCTAGCTGTATATATGCATACATTAAAAATATTTCACCATGAAACAAACCAATAATATAATATTTATATTGCATGCAGGAGGATTAATTTAGCATATTATTATAATTACATAGTGTTGGCCAGTTTCGTCGAGGATCCCAGCAGCAGCAGATGCATAGTTTACTCCCCCGAGGATTCTACCCCCTCTTGTGCTTGGATCTGCAAAGGGCGGAGGAGAAGCGATTCCCAACAGTTCTCCTGAAATATGCACCAAGATATATCTGTTTCAAATTCATGACTATTATAATCTTTCTTGTTACTCCATTTTTCTTTTTTTACTACTATCAGATGTAATTATTTTGCCATGCACAACTATGACCAATAATAATGTTTAATGAATGAGAAACTAATTACCAAGAATATCAATAAAGGTTTTGCCATTGGAAAATCTGCCAGTAGGGCCTCTATTGAAATCGATGCCATAGGGGTAGTAGTTTGATTTGGCAATAGAGTTGATGAAATTGTTATTCCCATTATCAACTAGAGAATCACCAAATACCCATAGAGCTGTAGGTGCAGTAGCACCATATGAGCAACACATAAGAAGAACCAACAAAGATATCATCATGGAACACTTCATTTCAATAACATTGGACATGGATTTCATGACTTTCATCTAACAATTTCTTTTTCTATTTTTTCCCCTCTACTTTCAATAAATATAAAAGATGAAATAGAAGAAAAAGAGATGGCCGGAATACTTACATGTTAATTATAATATATCTTTTGAAACCGTTTAATATGTAAGCAGTACCAGAAAATCTTACTTTTGTTAACGGACTTTTCCTGATTTTTGGTATGTTCTTTTCTTTTCTCACGTCTAGTTCGTTTAGCTTTTGGTTGTTTGTTTCCAAGTCAATCAATTAAGGATATGTAGCAGCAAAGTACATGTGATGATGGTTTCTGTTCAATGTTGGGTGGTTTTCTGTGGCCTTTGTTTTAATTATATATATGGTCCATACTTGAACGTTGCAAAAGATCGAGTTCCTTATTTGTCTTGTTAATTGATAGAGAAACAACGCTAACACTAGAAATACCCTTATGGAAAGTGAATGACTAAATTGAACGGTATTCAAGTAGAAACAATCGAGCTTCCTTATCTAATTGGCTTCTCCCACTTTTGTACTTTGCTGATGTTATCTATATCTATAATCTGACAGCTTTGCATAGACTATAGTCCTGATTCGTTATTTTTTTTTTTTTCCTCAAAACAATCCTCTCGCCTCCTCCACATTTACGCTGCCCCTATTTTATTTAGCTTAGGCTTTCATTTCCCGTGGCGGTGATAGGAAGTATTGTTACGTGCAAGGATCGAAGCAATTTGATGAAATAAAGGGGTGAACCCTTACTTACGAAGAGAGAGAAATATGAACTCTTATTTCTGATATGTTTCTTACAGAGAATTCATGTGAATATTCTAGAACTATGTACTTTGTATATAATTAATTAATAAAAAATGGCTATCTCTATAAAAGAAAAGACTACACCTGTAAGTTAATGATATATAACTTGTATGTACAACTAAGTATTTCAAGTTGGGCCTTCAGTTTTGTGTTGGGCCGCTGGACCACTTGTAACTTCAACACCCCCCAGCAAGCTGGAATGGGGAACCAGACCAAGCTTGGATAGGAAAGTACAGTGTTGAACCCCTGGCAAAGACTTAGTAAACACATCAACCAATTAAGAAGTAGAGAAAATAGCATGCAAACTGATGAGACTAGAGTGAAGCTGCCCACGCACAAAGTGACAATCTATTTCAATATGCTTAGTGCGTTCATGAAATACAAGATTTCGAGCGATATGTATGGTAGAATGATTATCACAAAAGACAGGAACATGAGACAAAGAAGAGACCCCAAACTCTCCAAGTAATCTAACAATCCAAACAATCTCAACAACCAACTGTCGGAGAGCTCTGTATTCTGCTTCAGCAGAAGATAGAGCAATAGAGGCTTGTTTCTTGGACTTCCAGGATACAGGACACCCACCCAATAATAAAACATAGCCACTGACAGACTTCCTTGAAATACAACAACTTGTGCAATCAGAATCACAATAACCAGTCAAGGCAAAGGAAGAAGAATCATTAAACAACAGCCCCAAGTCAGGTGTACCAACAAGGTACCGCAACACATGCAAAGTTGCCTCAAAATGTGGGACCCTCGGATGTGCCATGAATTGACTAAGGTGTTGCACACTATAAGAAATGTCAGGGCGAGTGTGTTGAAGGAAATTTAGTTTTCCAACTAACTTCCTAAACAAAGAAGGGTCAGGAAGAATATCAATAGAATCAACTGAGAGTTTGAAATGAGCATCCAAAGGAGATACCACAGAAGTAACATGAAGACAATTGAATTCAGCAAGTAAATACAAGAGAAAATTTTGTTGAGTGACATGGAGACCTTGAGGCTGCTTGATGATTTGCAATCCCAGAAAGTAATGAGCCTTCCCTAGGCCTTTAATTTTGAATTGCTCATCCAGAAACTGCTTTAAGGCTTGTATTTCAAACAAATCATCACCAGTTAAAAGAATGTCATCCACATATATGGCTACAATGGTAAGAGAAGAACCATACTCTTTAACAAACAAGGAATAATCATTTTTACTAGAAACATAACCTCTAGATTGCAAGGCGTTGGATAGCTTGGCATACCACTATCAGGAAGCTTGTCTAAGTCTATAAAGAGACTTGTTAAGCTTACAAACTAGAGTGGAAGAAGAATCAGAAACTTGCAACCCAATATGAACTTTCATATATACCTCCTCCTCTAAATCACCAAGCAAAAAGGCATTATTGACATTCAGTTGGAAAATAGGACAGTGTCTCTTAACAGCAACACTTAACAAACACTTAATGGTGGTGAGTTTCACAACTGGGGAAAAAGTTTTAGTGAAATCTATACCTCTCTGTTAGGTGTCCCCTTTATCACCAACCAAATTTTATATCTCTTTATACTACCATCGGCTTTCTATTTGATCTTATAAACCCACTTAGAAGATATAACTTTCTTATTAGGAGGCAAAGGGACAATTATCCAGGTATTGTTAGCCTCCAATGCTTGAAACTCTTTCATCATAGCATCCTGTCAGACAAGATTAGAAATAGCATGATGACAGAATTATTGTTCAGGCAAGCAACCTTCAGGAACAAAGTTAGTATCCTTAGAAACAGAAACATTGGTGCAAACATAATCTTTGAGAAAAGAAGGGGGATTGGTAGGTCTAGATGACCTCCTCAAAGGTACAGAAGCAACATGAACAGATGGAAAAGAGGTAGAAGTAGAAACTGGACCAGATATAGCTTGAGGAGAAGGAGCAGAGAAATCAACATATATATGCGCAGTAGAAGGGAAAAGGCAAGTAGGAGAAGGAGAGGAATAAGGGAAAATAGACTCATGAAATTGGACATCTCTAGAGAAGAAAACATTGTGTTTGGTCAGATTCAACAACTTAAAGGCCTTTTTAGTCATGCTACATCCAAGAAACACGCAAGATACAGTCCTTGAATGAAATTTATCCCTATAGGGCTTAAGCACAACAGCAAAACATAGACAACCAAAAAATCTAAGGTGTGAGTATACAAGAGGATTACTAAAAGTAGCTCATAGGGTGTTTTATGGTTTAAAAGAGGTGAGGGAAACCTATTGATCAAATAAGTGGCAGTAAGTGCACATTCCCCCCAATATTTTAGTGGAAGTTTAGACCGAAAAAGTAAGGATCTAGCAGTTTCTAACAAATGTTTGTGTTTCCTTTTCACAACTCCATTCTGTTGAGGAGTATGTAGACATGAAGTTTGGTGAATGATTCCCTGATTAGAGAAGAAAGAGGTGGCTTCAGCACTAGATCCTAACTCAAAAGCATTATCAGACCTGAGTGTCTTGACAGAAAAATGGAACTAAGTTTGGACAAGAAATATGAAGGATTTTAACAAAATAAAAGCATTAAACTTGGTAGATAACGAATAAGTCCAAATGGCCCTAGTAAAGTCATCTATAATGGTCAAAAAGTACCAAAAACCATTATATGTTTGTGTGTGGCAAGGACCCCATAAATTCACATGGACAAGTTGAAAAGGCTTGGTAGTTAATGGAACTATCAGGAAAAGGAAGTCTTTGCTGCCTAGCCATTGGACAAACTTTACAAACAAAAGACTGTTTCTTAGATAACTTATCCTTAATATGAGTAATAGACTTCATCTTATGGAAAGGCATGTGACCAAGTCGAAGATGCCAAAACATATCAAAACTAAAAATAGGAACATAATCATTTGTAGAAGGCACAAAAGTAGAAACAGTTTGATTAGCATCAATGGTATTTACAATGTTGTCAGGAACAAAATCATTTGTAAAAGGTACAGAAATAGAAACAGTTTTAGTGACATCAATGGTATTTACAGTGTTGACAAGAGCAAAACAAGATGAAGAAGTAGTAGAATCAGCAGTCGTAGCATTGACAGCTTCACCAATTGAAGTAGCAAAAATTGAGGTAGGGGCGGATTGTAGCAGATAAAGCCCATTTGAGATTTTACCAAGAACCAGTGGCCTTTTTAGAGAAAGGCCCTGTAAGACACAATCATAGGCAGAAAATAAAGCATTACAATGAAGTTGTAATAAGAGCTGATGTAAAGAAACTAATTTTTACTGGAAAGAAGGTACAAGTAAAACATTTTCCAAAATCAAGTTGTTAGATAAAGGAAGTGTGCCAGAACAAGTTACCTTCACCCTATAACCATAGGGAAGTATGACAAGGTAAGGGATTGCTAGTGGTTTAAGATTTATTAAGAGAGATTTCTGAGGGGTCATATGATGTATAACACCTGAATCTATTATCCAAGGATTACCAACTAAGCGAGAAAGATTGCAAGCAAACACGCAAAAATTTCTAGTATCAACACAACGTACCAAACCTGCAAAGTTGGCAGATCTAGAGGCAGTAGCATCATGAGAGACCTTAGACTGTTGAAACATGTTCAGCAAGTGCTCATACTGTTCCTCTATGAAACTATGATTCTTAGAATCAAATTGTTCAATCCTATTATCAGAAGCACACCCATATGTTGGTCCCAGACTCTGAGTCTCTGAAACATGAGCATAACCAGCATGTTTCTTAAACCTATTGGACTGAACAATGCTCTGAAAAATGTTGGGATACCCATGAAGTTTGTAATATTTTTCTATGGTATGTCCAGGCTTTTTGCAGTACTTGCATATGACACTTGCCCTTTTAGGATCGAAATTAACCTTTTGTGAATAAGTTTTCTGGATGCCAGCAGGGGAAGAACCAATATATGATTTTTGAACACTAGTGGAGAAAGAAGCAGACTCGAAAGAGAAAGATGGAACTAAAGCTTGTGCCTCAGATTGACTTTCATCATTAACCAGCATAGCATGCGTAGTATCTATGTCTGGAAGAGGTTTCATAGCCATAATGTTCCTCCTGATGATAGAATAGTTGTCGTTCAAACCCATAAGGAACTGGTGAAGCTTCTGATTTTCTTCCAATTTTTGAAAAGCCTCTTTACATCCACACGCACAATCAGGATATGTTATAGAATATGCTAGCTCATCCTATAACTTCTTAGTTCTGGAAAAGTAGGAAGCAATGTTCGAAACTCCTTGAGAAATAGATGATAGAGCCTTACGAATCTGATACACTTTGCTTCCATTGGG